CCCCAAAACCCCAAAACCCCAAAACCCCAAAACCCCTCATTTGATTTATTTTGGTGAAATTTAAAATAATTTTTTATAATAATCTGGGGGTTATACAAAGAACTTTCTGAATTGGGATTTTCTAGGAACTCTGAGTTTAACAATAGGAATTCTGTAGCAAAGTTAGTGAGAAATTTGTCGCTTACTTGAGTTTTGACGAATTCAGATGTCATGGAGAGGATAAATAGTTTGGAGAGTTTGGAGAGTTTGGAGATTTTGGAGTTTTGTAGATTTCTGATCCTGGCCGTAGATCCGAAGACCTAACAGTTGTAAAAGATTTATTCTTTTGTTTTATTGATTCGGTGGCTAAGATATTAAATCTGCTCTTATAACTCGAATTCATTCTTGATGAAGTATCTAATTCACTAAAGCAAAATCAAACCCTCAAAACTTGCCGAGACATTCTTTGCTGCATTCTATCATTGCAAAGCCTTCCTCTAATATTTAAAGATATTTTCTTCTCTAAAAAATCACTCCTTTCACTTACTTTCTTCATCAACCTTCAACACCTCTATTCTATTCCTTCTTCTCTTTTTAACCACTTTCTTCACTACATCAACTCCTAATCAAATAGCTTGTATTATCGTTATAACAAGTCCGTTAAAAATGAGCATCCAGACTTGAAGGTTAAGGCTCCTGGTCGACAAGAAATTTCCATGGGAGAGTATCAGTTCGACTGTTCCGAAGAAATATCTATAGAATTTGATGTCTGAGTCAAATTACGTGTAAAATAAAGACATAAAAATATGTATCAGTGTCATGTTAAAATCAAAACATAAATCCCGAAGAACCCCTTATAATTTAGCAATTTATTTCCTTTAAAAAATACCATCTTTGAACCAAGTCTATCTAAGCCAATCTACACTGTCGATCCTAAATTATTGTCTAATATGAAATTTTGCAAACCCTATCCTTACAAGGTATCATTGATAGCCATCATTAGATTCATTTTAGCTTCTCTGAAAGGCCTGACTATGACCATATACAACAGTCCTCCTAGTTGCACTGTAGAATAAATCGATAGTTTCAGGTATATACTTTGGTCTATTGGAACTAGAATAATTATGATTCAGAGAAGTCTTCGAAGCAAGAACACAAAGTCATCATATTGGAACTTCAAAGCCGAAGATTTAGCACCTCTCTTAATCTTGATGAACACCATGACCATAAAGAGCATCATTCCGATAAAGCAGGATGCTGCGAACACAAGTGATACAGGCTTCTCTTGAGCTGAAAAGAATCGAACTATCTCTTCAAGTGACAAGAAAGTAACGAACAAGAACACTTCTTTAAAGAATTCGAAGTAAGCTTTAAAATGGAAGAAGTTTTTGATCTTTGAGAGTAATTTTGTGATCAATGGTATCTTCAAACCTCAGAAAAGTAAGCAAATTAGAATGTCGACTATAATGAGTAAGAGGAGAAGCATAAAAGGCTCAGTCTGATTTATCATGAAGCTTCCTGATGTAACTCTATTTTCTCTGAAATTTTCGTCAGGATGAGAGTATTTTCAATTGAAGATTTTATCAAGGACTTCTTGGACAGATTCAACTGCTGTTGTTCTCCATTTGAACCTGAGGAAATCAAGAGCATTTAGGATATCCTTGAACTCTACAGAATAAAAAGCATTCAGAAATGGTAGCAATGAGAACAACTGGTATTGATTAAACATCATCCAAAAGTTTTGAGTACTAGAAGCTGCTAGTAGCGAATTTACAGTTGATAATGCCATGGATCCAACAATCACAGAAGAAGTGATTACAGTCGTCGTTTGAACTGCTTCTGCTTGTGTACTTTCGCTCTCTGTATTATTAGGAGCGTCATTTCAGACAGCAGTGTTAGTATAGTCTCAACTTTGGCAATTAGGGTTGTCTCACTGATAAACATGGATTGTCCCATATCTTGAAATGGAACTAGTTCCAATAGAAAAGTCTATTTGAACATCATAAGTGTTCGAAACATCATATGGTGGTCATGTTACGACTAATGAATCAAGGGCCGTGCTATCTATTGAGAGCCAAGCTGGAGGAGAATCAGATACCACACTCGCAGTGATGTCGGTGCTTCCTGAGATAGAGCATGGCTTTGAAATTTCGATTGTACTGTTTATTCCAGCTTGAACATAAGCAACAAAATTATTACTAAAGTTGCCAAAACGAATATCTCCATAAACATTGCTAGCATTTGGAGTATAGGTGCCTAGAGACACCAATGATGCAGATCCAACTCCAGTCAATGAAGAAGCATAATAGTAAATTATGGTAGTACTCGATACATAACTATATGAAGAATTAACAGATGGAGTTGTTGAGGTTGATAATACCATCTCAGGATTTATCTGTTCAATAGTGTAGTAAAGTGTTCTTCCAACATAGATCTCATTAGGATTCAGAATTGTCCCAATTATATAGGTGAAGAGTCCATTAGAAAAAATTCCTTGAGCTTTCCTATCCGTCATCTTTCTCGCTGCAATCACCGAACCAATTTTCGAATCATAGATATACAATTCAAAGCCTTCATCATAGCAAATAAGAGCATAGTGAAGGCTATCATTCTCATTATAGGTCATTCCTCAAGCTTTAACGTTAGTCTGCATAAGATTGGATGCTTCGATCTGAGATTCCAATTCTCCAGTAGATAAAGTTATTGTAAATATTAAAGCTTCATTATTCTCAACAATGAGTTCCACTATTTTATTTGTAGAAAGTGAAGCCACATGGCTTATCTCAGAGCCATAAACACAAGCAGATGTTCAATTTAGTGATCTCGCCCATTTAATGTTGTCATTTGTCAAGTCAGCCATCCAGAAGGAGAACCTATTGTTTGATATTGTAGTGATAGAGTTAATGAATAAATAGGTATCATTTTGGCCTGAAGTATTATTAGCGTAAGATAATATAGAAAAAGAAGGAACAGTTATTGTAAATAATTGCAGATTCTGAATAACTGTTAGATTACTTACTCCTACCAAGTGTAGGAAATCACTTATCCCATCAATTTCTGTGTAGAGATAGAACTGAGTGCTATCAGGCATCAGTTGTATTCCTCTGCAATTTTTCAAACCCGATATATTAGTTTGCCTACTAATCTCTCCTGTAGAACCATCAAGTACTAGAATAGGGCAATTTGAAGCATTATCAAGAGTGAGGATCAATTCATTGGTGGTTGATACATACAAGCTTCCATCAGGGTGTGTTGTTCCTTTTACCATCTTAATCCACTCTTCAGTGCCATTTACAGCCATTTTGCGAACAGCAACATAAATCGATGCTGAATACTGAAACTCAAAAACCATGAAATATCAGAAATAGTCGCTACAGGGTAGAATTGCTTTCGCATCCAAGCTTGACAATCCATTATAACTGAATGCTTCAAAGTATGGTCTGTAGTTATCATTTGATAGATCAGGAATAACTGCATCAATAGGGTTAGAATCATTGGAACAAGTTGCTCAAAGAGATATTGATATGAGCAAGGTTACCATTAAGATTTCTTTCATATTGTCTTTATTTTTTATTTCTACTTTTCTGGATATTTTGGGGTTTTGGGGTTTTGGGGTTTTGGGG